AATAATGAGATGAAAAATAGCTAGAAGGGACCTTGACATTGGTTACTTGTAGGGTTGTGTGTGTGCTTTGTCAGATTTTATGTTTTTATTTATGTGCATGTGTAATCTGACTGCCTGTGTATTTATGTACTCTATGTATACAGTGCTGGAAGCCAGAGGAAGCATCAGGTCCTCTGGAGAAGGAGTCACTAATGGCTGTGAGGCTCCACATGGGAGCTGGGAATTGCACATGAGCCAACTGCAAAAGCAAGCAGTGCTCTTAACTGCTGAGTCAGCTCTCCACACCCAGAAGCCAGTTATAAACTCTTCAAGGTGACTTGATTTTATGACAGGACAATGACCTACCATGAGATCTGAATTATACAAATTCCCAAACTGGTTATGCTGTACGAGTTCAATTTTAATCAGAATATATTTTCTGTAAATACTTTTTCTCACTTTTTAAAAACTTTGTTTTTGAGATGTACCATTCCTCCATTTTCTTTCTTCCCTCCAAACCCTCCAATAAGTGCTTATATGTTCTCTTTCAAAATCATGGCCTCTTTTTCTCATTAATTATCATTGAACACATATTCCTAAACATAACCTGCCTCATCTATATGTCATTTGTTATTGTATGCAAATTTCCAGGTTTGACCATTCAGTATTAGACTACCAATCGATGTGCTCTGCTCCTGGGAAGATTGTTTATCCCACCCTCAGCATTTCTGTAGATCTTGTGGACAGTTGAGACTTCATGGGTTGTTCCCCATGCACTTTGGGGTGTCTGTTGTTGGCCTTGCACATCTCATGTTAAGGTCGTCTTGCCAGTGAGGCTTTATGGGAATATCTTACAACATTACTAAGAAAACAATGGAAGTTGAAACATCTTAGGTTTGTACCCTCACCTCTTCCCTCATCATGGGGCCTGTGACACTCTCATGGTCTTGTTATCAGATAAATGTGTGCTGTGGATTGAATGCAAAATGTCACTCATGTGCTTGGATCATGGAACCTCGGCTGGAGGTGTTGCTTTAGAATGTTGTGGGGCCTTTGGCAGGGGGACAAGGCTGGTAGAGGGCTGTCATTAGGAATGGGTCGTGAGTATCATTCTCTGTGTATTATAGCTCAGCCAATCTCTTACACAGCAGCAATGTGATAACTGAAACCTACTACAATATATGCTTCCTATTATATATACATACATAACATGGCAACAGTGCTCCTGCTATAGGCTAATAATTAAAATCACAGTACCAGGAATGGGTGATGTCTTTTGGAGTTGTTGGCCAGTAAGGTTATATAGCCCACAAATGTTATAGGTTATTGCCAATGCTTTTGGTTTCCCTCTAGAACTTGGCAGTAAGATCCCATTGCTGAAGACATCAAATATTGGATCATAGAACATGGAGATGTCATTCTGGTACACACCTGGAGGCATCATCCCTATTGGCTAGCTTTCATGATGCCAAAAGTGCTAGGAAAGCTAACAGAGGAGGAACGTAATCATCCACCTTACCAAGCTATGAATCTAGAGAATTACAATTAGTGACCAGCCTGGCAAGACATACCTTATGACTGGTAAAACTGTGGTTCAAAACATTGTGGAAGTAACCAACTATTTCATGATTGGATTTAAGGTTTACTCCACAAGATGAAACCCATACCTGCATCATTATTGGGTCAGAAATGGATATGATATTAAACTAATGTCTAATGACTTATCGTCATACCCATAGATATGTGCATCTTTCAGCACTCACCAGAGAAGTGTGACCAGTTGTGGGTCTCTGTGTTAATCTATTTGCAGTGTATGGTGATTAACACAGAGACTCACAACTGATCAAGGTTCAGAGAATAAGAAACTGAAGACTTCTCAGCCCTATCTATATACCTTTCTCCCAAGGTTAAGGATAATCATGGAAGGAGGGTGGACAGAAAGACACTAAGAGCTAGAGGAAGTAGATGAAGATAAGGAAACAATATCCTCTGAATACCACAGGGAAACTGCACATATTAACTCACAGTGATTGTGACAGCCTGAACAAGACCCATGTAGCTCAAACCAGAATAAAAAAAAATAGCATTGAGTAGGAAGATGGGCATGGAGTTCTACTCATAGCTGAGAAGTTGTTAGCAATTAATAACTACTAGGAAAGGAACAGTTGATTTTCCTTAAGAATGTAACTTGAATGTTGACCACTCTCTAGAGAAGGCCACACTTCCGACAGTATATGGACAGCACAAATTGAAATTGATGGGTGTTAAAGAAAAAAGACACAATTGGACCTAGAAGGAGTTGGGAAGAGGTGGTTAAGGCCAAACCACATGGCTCAAAATTCTAAAAGAACTATTAGAAAAATAAAAAGATAAGTCAATTGATGTTGCCACCCTGGTCAGAGACTCTGGGCATGAAGGAAAAAGAGTAGACTTGTTGAATAACCACATGATCAAAACCCAGGGTACCAATAGAGGACATGTCAGAGCCCACTATAAGATCAATGAATGGTCATGAGCGGTCAAGACCTGCACCACCTCTAGGTTGTCTGATTCCTTAACCTGGTCTACAGTCTGGAAGCTAGACCTTTTGTCTAGACCCTGTGACACTGTAAACTTTGGCAAAATCTGAGAATCACTTATCAGTGATTTTGGAGAAAAAGTTAATAATTTCCCACAGGGAAGGGAGATAGATCTATTTTCAAAAATGATCATTTAATGGATCTGGCTTAGGACTGGAAATCACACACATGTGATCTTCAATGTTCTGGGGGTTCCATGGTGCAGTTCATGTGAGATTCTGTCCGATGACATCTTGTTCTCTCTAACTTTTCAAGTCACAGTGACCAGTACATGAAGCACATTCTATCCCCATAGCTCTGTCACCCACCTGCTGACACTGTACACGTAAGAGAAGCTAATTTTTGAACAAGTCCATGACTAATGAGATTAAAATCTACTCTGTCACTTGAAGAGTGAGGCCAATTTTAGTTCAGCTGACATTAGTCTTGGCCAAAATGATGCCGGTTACTGTTTCTCAAGTAATAATGATAATAAATCATCATCATCATCATCATCCTAGCGTGCTCTTTTTTTTTTAAATCTGCTGTTTGTCTCTCCTGTCCTCAATCCTTCAGAGTAGATTATATTGAAGATAGTCAAGGCACTGTTATGCCCTTCACAAACAATGGTAATTCTGCTTGGAGGAAAAATTGGAAAGCTGAGACAAAAGGTTCCTATTTTTATTTATCTTTTTTAAAGTAAGGGAAAGGGAAGAAGTTTCCTAATTCCCATAGTTGCTGTGTATCTTTTATTTCTAAATGAAGATCTAGTGTCCTGATTATTCATTACAAGAGTGTTTTGGTTTGGTTTTGCTTTATTTGTTTTCCAAATATGTGAAGTTGTCTTCTTCCCACAACTTCCAGGTGCACAGCACTCTCTGGGTTCTGTTGGTGAGGATTAAGAAAAACATTCGTTTCTGTCAGAAAAGGAGATGTGTGAGAAGACACAGCTCCAGACTGAGGAAGGACAGGGACCCTCTTCTCAAGGAAGACCACTATTGATGGTCCTAGAGATAATAACTGCATGGAGATGTGGTGCAGGAGGGTCTTCTTTCTATGAGTTGCTTTCATTGGTCAAATAAAGAAACTGCCTTGGCTTTTTGATAGGGCAAAATTTAGATAGGTGGAGTAGACCAAACATAATGCTGGGAGAAAGAAAGCAGAGTCAGGCAGATGCCATGGCTTTCCTCTCTGAGACGGACACTGGTTAGACTCATGCCGGTAAGCCATAGTCAAGTGGCAATACACATTAATGGAGATGGGTTAAACTAATATGTAAGAGTTAGCCAAAAAGAGGCTAGACATAATGGGCCAGGCAGTGTTTAAATGAATACAGTTTCCATGTAATTATTTCGGGTGTAAACTAGCTGGGAGGCCAGGCGCCAGGAATGCAGGCCACCGCTTCTTTTTACTACAGAGACGCCAATATTTGGGGATTTAAAAGACCAAAAGATCAGCGTCACACCTTCATAGCTACCTTCTCAATATGCATGATGATTACACCCTTAGAGAATCGGGAAATCACATCACAGCTGTGCTTGACAGGTTGGTGGATAACTAGCACTATGCCACACTCAGAGCATGAACCATTGTGAGGCTCTGGTGTATACATTAAAGATTTGAAGCAAAATCAGCACATCTTTGCAGGATTAGATCCCTCCCAGTGTTCTCTATACACTAGACTTTCCTGTTTTATTTGTTGACCATAGATACGATGATAGTAATCTTAATTTAAACCATCTCAAAAGCGTCCCCCAAACAATGATGTATTTAACACTAAAGAGAAGTAAGGAGCAAAGAGGGTCCCTTCTATAAAATCTTTACCATGCTGTAGCTCTTTAGAAAAGCTGTGATATATGATATTAGTCAACGTTATTTTTTAAAGGTTTATTTTACTTTTAAGTAAGTGTGTGGGGGCAGGGGTGGGGGTTGTGGTTGGAGCAATCTGTGAGTGCAGGTGCCATGAGAGGCAAGAGTCCTCAGTCTCCTAGAGCTGGAGTTACAATCGTGGTTGTGAGCTACTGGACCAGTGCTGGTCCCAGAACTAGGTCTTCTGCAAGCACAGTGCACACTCTTAACTGTTAACTCATCTCTCCAGTCCTGTAAATGTTTATTTCAACAGCTATGAATCCACATGATAAGGTATATGATTAAGAGCCTTATACAAAATAAACATAATAAAGTCAGGGCTAACAAATTTTTCTCCTTAAAACCTTATGTGCTCAGTGGAAGCCCTGTTTCATCAGATTCCATAACTTTCCCTTGTACATGCTCCTAAGCCGTTTTATTGGACATATTAGAGATTAGACGAATATAATTTTGTTTCAGAATTTAGAGGAACTCATATTGATTTCTCTTTATTTAAGTGGGAGAATAGAGAACTCCTGTTCCTGATCATTTTCACAGTATTTCGAGCCACGCCACCATCAGATCCCACTGCGTGGGCTACCTCGCTTCACCCACCTCTCACAATCAGCTGACTCTGGTGTTCCACGGCCGCCGCCTCGTTCCGGGCAATGCAGGTGTAATTCCCATTGTGCATCAGGGAGAGATTGGAGATCCTCAGGGAGCTGGTGAAGTCGATGTTGTCAATGGTCACCCCGAGGCTTGCCGGGATCGGCCGGCCATCCTTCTGCCAGGTGATGGTGATGGGTAAGTCCCCGGAGACCACCACACACGGGATGAAGACCCTCTGCCCGATGGAGAATCTTGGGAACTCAAAAGGTTGGATGAAAGGTGGAACTAGAAAGAAAAAAAGTAGCAGAGGGAAGACAATAATGAGTGCCTGATATTTTACTTTATCTTACGCCATTTGACAATGAATGTGCAGTGACCCACATGTACAATCCAGGAGTCTATAAGCTATAGAAGACTATAGAAGGCTGGCAAGTATACCTCTGTCACTCAAATTCTTCAGCATGCTTAATGCAAAGCAAGGCTCCTTTGTCATTCAACAAATATGATTCATTATTTTATTCAATACAGCAGAATTTACTTTTGGCTCGCAACATTTGAACTGCTCTTCAGGGTGAAGCCTTTCACAGGGCTTTAGGTCTGGTGTGTCTTTTTTACACACGGCATGTGATGGAGGCTCTTGTTTTCCTGTTTTGCTACCACTGGCACTGAGTGGCAAACAGGACCATGGGTTCCAGTGTTAGCTCTCAAGCTCATTTACCTGACTAGTAACAGTCACACACTGCAGCTACTTATCGTAGGTAGTGGGGAGTGTTCTACACCTATTACAGTTTGCATGTTCTCTAGAGAGCATTTCTACTCATGAATGGACCCAAGCCAGGTATCTGTGCTGTTGGAATAGGTTATGCTGCTAGTCTGGCCAGTCAGAGAGTCAGCTAAACATTCTAGATGTTTCTTTCTTAATTTGATCCCTTCATAAACCGTTCCTTGTCTTTCTGCCTCCAGACCATGTTTCCTTGTCACCATCTTTGATGGCCCAGGAGACTCTTTAAATCATAGTCTAGTCAAAGTAGAGCCAAAGGAACCAGATCGGAACACACGGGATGGGCAGGTTATTAATATACCATCCATAAGCCCCCTGCAGCCGGGAGAACGGAGCCCCCAACAAGGTGCTTTGCCCTTTGACTGGGAATGAGTTGGTCTTTTCAGGAGGGCGCAAGCCACTTCTATCTGGCTCAGGTTGGAGCCTGTACTGCTGCTGGTCATTATTGTAGTTTTGCATGTACCTTTTTTTTTAAAGGAAAAAATATTCTATTTTTTTTTAAAGAAAAAAGAAACATTCCATTCTGAGGGCTTGAAAATAACATATGCTATAAGCGAAGATTCTAAAGCTCAAAATGACTTGTGGTAAAAAGACACCATGCCAGATGAACTGATAGAAGGGGAAGCAGACAGCAAGCTGATATGCATAGTGTCTCTTCATTAATCCACTATGGAGTCAGCTCTACTATCAACTCAAGGGAGACGTCAGGGACCCAGCTGAGAAGACTAAGTAGAGAACAGGTACGCAATCATTCATTCATTTCATGAAATGTTGTTCAGCGGGCACCTGGCATGTGTGTGGCCACCACTGTATGCCATGAGCCCCGCAATAAACATAGCGCATGGGTTGCTGCCAAGTGCAGTATTCACGAAGACGTAGGCAGCAAACAGCAACACAGCAGTGTCGTGGCTACTTGGGGACTTGACATTATTACTGTTGCTACTACATTCTCCCAGAAACAGCTGGCAGCCAAAACTCAGAATTGCCAACACAGCCCAGAGCTAGACGGCCTAGTCTTTAGGAGGCTTGAGTTTCATCTTAACCAGAGAGATTTAGAAACAAAAACAGCGGAAGGAACCGATTAGCACAGCCAATGTCCAGAGCATTACAGTTTCTCAAGGTGGAGTCACAGCTTTGGGTCTACAAATAGCTGATTTGAGCTAAGGGGCAGGGCCCCAGGAGGACACTCTCTGGTGCTATAGACAGGAACGGGCAGATGAGATGTGTAAGTTCACAGCAGCAATGGGCTGGGGGAAACACCAGTCAGACAAGGATACTTGTCCTTCTTTACCTCTTGTTCACTATGTGCACACACAGGCAGTATTGATAGTGAATGGATTTTAATACTTTGTAATATAGAGGATTGCACTGTTCATCCCTGGTTTCTTACACACAGAATCCTGGTGGTCATCATATTTATACAAACACTGGTCCCTCTTGCTAGCTTGGTGCTTGCTGTCAGAATAGAAGATCAGTTTTCTAAGGTAAGAGCTTTGGAACTAGGCTTCATAGCTGCCCATCCAGCTGTGCTACTTAAGATCTGCATTTAGCCAGCCCCTGAGCCTTGGTTTCCCTATCTATAACTGACAACCAAAGCCCCGAGTTATTAATCAGTTATGATAGTGATTCAACAACCAGGGGCAGTGTCTCAGTGAACTTTAAGTGCTTGATTCAGTTCCTGTGTCTTTAAGAGGAGAAGCAACAAAACCACATCTAAAGAATTAAATTTCCCTAGGAATTTTAACAGAGATAAAAAACATATATATGCTAATTTTCGACCCATTGAGACAAACATGGAAAGTAAGGCACTTGTGTGTGTGTGTGTGTGTTCTTATAAGGTACGTGCATGTGTGTGTGTGTTCTTATAAGGTACGTGCATGTGTGTGTGTGCGTGTGTGTTCTTATGAGAGCGTGTATGCACACTGGCAGGAGAGCAACCCAGACCATTGTTCCTCAGAAGGAGCTTGTCTGTTTTGCAATAGCGTCCCCATTTGGTGTGGAGCTTACCAAATACGTTGGGCTGGTTGGCTAGAGGGCCTCATGGACCCTCCTGTCTCTACCTCCCTCGTGATGGGATTAGAAGTGTGCATCGCCACACCTGGACTGTTTTGTGTAGGTACCAGGGATGAAACTCACGCTCCTATGCTTGTAAGACAGGCACTTAACTGAGACATCTCCCCAGCCTATGGAAGGCATCTTTATATAACCATTAATGACAAAACAAGTTTAAAGTGTAGATATAGATAATTGTGTTCAACAGTTGTGAGCTATACCAACAACCCCTTATGCAGGCAGAGTTGTAAGACAGAAGAACCTCACATGCATACTATTTCCCAACAGTAGACGGAAAGAATTGGGTACAGACGGAGCGGCATTTAAATCCACATGAAATCCAAGACATTGGGGCTGGGAGATTACTCAGAAGGTAAGACTACTTTCTGTTCAGATATGAAGAGTCCAGTTCTAATCCCCATTATCCTCATAAACAGCCAGACATGGCTTTATGTGCACTTGTAACCTCAGCGGTGTAGTGGTGTGTGCGTGTGTGTGTGTGTGTGTGTGTGCGTGTGTGCACGCGCGCGTGCACGCGGGCTTCCTGGCTGCTCATCTAGCTCCAGGTTCAGTGATGGAGACTCAAGATGGAAAATGGTGGAGTAAGATACCCAGCATCCCCCTCTACCCTCCACATAGGTGATGAACCTGTCCATAGGTGAGCATATGCCACATGCATACACATGCATTTGAAAACGCACACCCCAAAACTTAATGCTTTCCAATAGTTTAAAATTCATCAACACATGGAATTAGAAGGGACACAATTACAGCTTTATAAATGACTTCAGACATGGCTTGAAGAAACATATCTAAAACAGAAGTCAAGAGGTGTGCATTCAACATACTGAAAAGCAATACTACAGCTGTAGAAATAGCTCAGTGGTTAAGAGTGGTGGTTGCTCTCACAGAGGTTCAGTTCCTGGCACCAACATGGGGGCTCAAAACCATCAATACCAGTTCCAGGGGTTCTGGTATTTTCTTCTCACCTCCATGGTCACTAGGAACAGATGTGGTACATATATATACATGAAGAAACACTCATATACATAAAATAAATAAATTATATGTATGTATATATATATATATATATATATGTGTAGGTAGGTATGTATGTGTGTATGTATGTATATCCCAGAAAACCAGTGCCAACAACCTCATTCATGCATGCCACTCAGGACATAAGCCACTGCTCTGAACATATGATTTTAAACTGCCATGACCATCTTGGTTAGTCATTATTCATAACTTGTTCTAACTAGATGCTGAGATATGAGGGATCCTGGCCGGCTTAGTGAAGAACCACAGTGGGGAGCTAAAGGGAGGTGAGAAGTCAGGCATGGATAAGAGCACGTAGCTTGTCTGGAGTTGGGAAGCACTGTACAGGAACACACTGTCCCTAATGGCTGGTTTTTCTGTAAAAATCATAGATGACAATTGAGACTAAATTGGGAATCATGGTTTGTATATTTAAAAAGATAAGAAGTCATATTTAAAATGCAGCGTGTTCATAGAAAAGTCCAAAATAGTTAACATACCAACGTTTATGGTGCAATAAGCAATGAGTCAGGGGAAAGTCAGGTTTGTTATCTGATCCTGTGCTGGTCATCGCTATTTCAGAATGGGCCTCCTCTTGAAAGCAGATTTAATGCCTGGACCAATTAACTATCCACATCACCTCATTGTTGCCGCCTCTCGCTTCAGTTAGAGTTATCGACGACAAAATGCTAAACATTCCGACAAGGGCCCAGCACAGAGGCCTTGCCTCGGTGAGGTCTAAAACCTAACTGCCAGATTGAACCACATAACAATAACATTAATAATCAGTTATAATAATAAAACTCACCACCATCACCCCACATCCTCTTTTTCTGCAACCTTTTAGAGTGCTCAACCACATGACCAGGATATGTCAACTCCTCACCCAGTTCAGAACACCCTCTTAAATGAAGCAAAGCGCCCAAATCCTGTTGACAGCAAAAGCTGGCAAGATTACAGGAGTGGGGCTTCTGAGTGTGATACGCACTGGGTTTTGACATAACCTTTCTGCAAGAAGTATGTAAATAATGGTTAAATGTCACCCATTACCAGGTTTGTGTATTTAGGAAGGCGGGGGCTGAGAGCCGTCCACTATTGCAAATGCCAGCTTCTGTTCTTATTCCTTCTAAGCTCATACTAGGGATGTTAAATAAAGTTGGTTCACTTCTGTTTTTACTCCCAGAAATTAAAACTGTATTCTGTTTAAAAAGGAGTCTAGAACATTAATGAAAGATCACGGGTTGAGTGCCGGTCAACCTTTGATAATTAGCAATGTGATCTCAATTCAGGGTTTGGGGGGTGGTGTGGAGGGTGGGTGTGCTCATTGATTGTGAACATATATGGGGACAGATACTGATATTGGGATGGCATTGTTTGATGACTTCTCTACATTAATTTTGAGACAGTGTCTCTC